AAAAAAAAAAAAAAAAAAAAAAAGAAGAAGAAGAAGAAGAAGAGGAAAAAAAGAAAGTAAAGTGGTGAAAGTACAGTTACTCCATAGAGTGGGGAGTTCTGGAAAGTAAGAGGAGGAACCCGTCTGCCCTAGGTACAATACTCACCTATATAGGATGAAAAAAAGGTCATGGGGAGATGTGCTCTGCTACAAGGGTTTGTGATAAAGGATTTTCTTAATCACTATATTTTGCAATAATTGATATTATTAACTTAAAAGCAAAATTAGGAATGAGCCTGTTCTCAAGATATCAGGATATCAGGACACTCCTAAGTCTGAGTCTGTTCAGTAAACGTTATTAATTTGTTCCCTTAGCCGTAAACATCTAGAGGCTAGGAATAGCTAACTTACTGGGAATGCACCCCAGCAAGCCCCGGACTCATTCTCCTCGCCCTCACACAAGATGGAGTCGCTCCGGTTCGAACGCCTGTGACATAACCTTGGGCCTGTACTGTGGCACAGAGGGTTTGCCCTGGATAATCCTCAAGTTCCCAGATTGGCAAGAGGCCAGTCCACTCGCGGCACCCCAGGCTCCGCTCTCCTGTCGCCTGCCAGACGCCCCGTCCTCCGCCTTGTGCAGCGCAACCCCGTCCTCCCTCAGGAGGCAGCCCCTCTGGAAAGCTTCCTTCCCTCCTCCCAGCCCGGGCACACGGCGCGGCCCTTACTGTTGCTGTGCCGGTCCTGTCATTTGGAGGTTCACGAGAACCCCATGCTTGACAGTGAAGCCTTGTCGGCTGAAGGAAAGGCGAACGGCCACTTTCTCTTTTTAGAGATTTCCGGAATCTCCTGGGGCCACTTTTATTGCTTCCCGTCTTTGTGGAAACACAAGCTTGGAAATAGGTGAGGCTCGGTCACCCCCTCCGGGTGGAAGGGGAAACCAAGCGCCGTCGGTTCCGGCCGCGGCTGCAGAGAATGCCCTTGGTTGCGACCCCCACCGCGCGCTGGGGAAAGTGGCGAGGTGGGCTAGGGAGACCCCAGGACCCCGAGACCCGGTCCCCACCGAGGCGGCGGCGGGCAGTGCCGGCACCGTGGCAGGCGGGAGGCGTGGACCGCGTCCCCTCCGCGTTTCCCTCGCGCCTCTGGAGGGCGAAAACCAACGACCTTGACCTCGGAGGAAGCGGCTCCTCCGGAAAAGCCCTCACAAAAGGCATTCCCCGGCTTCCACCTGAAAGGCGAGCCCCCGGTGTAGGGTTACCGGCGGCGCGCGGGGCCGGCGAGAACAGGGTGCGTCCCCAGCTGCCGCCCGCGCTCCGAGCCTCTGCTCTTGCGCCCGCTGTCTCGTGGGGAAGGCGCCAGCGCCCTGCGAGCCGGCGGCCGCCCCGTCGTCCCCACGTTCGGGGCCGCCCCGGGGCTTCCCTCCCGCGCCCCTGACAACGGGGGCCACTCGCTCCCTGGGCCGCGGCGCGGAGGGGCGGCTCCGCGGGGCTCCGGGCGAGCGGGAGGCCCAGGCCCGGCTCCTCCAGCCCCTCCCGCGGCCCCTCCTCTCCGCGCTCCGCTCCCTCTGCCCGGAGCGGCCCGGGAAGCGCGGACTTGGCCGTTCTCCCCTCCACTGCAAAGCCGCGAACGGATAGCCGATGCCGCTTCCTTCCCCGCCCGACCCCGTTTCCCCTCCTCTAGCCGGGAGGGAGTGCGGCCCGCGGGGCGCTCTGCGGGCGGGACCCACCCGGGACCCCGGGGCTGCCCGCAGAGCTGGGAGCTGGCCCGGCCTTGGCGCAGCCTCGGACCCCTGGTCGGCCGCGCCCCGAGGGGCGAGGCCTGCGGGCCGCACTTCCTCCCGCCCGGATTCGGGGCTGGAAGTCCCTCCCCGAACCCAGCAGCGGGCCTGGGAGGGAGAAGGGGCTGGAGTGGGCCTCGCCACTCTGAGGGATGGAGGGGACTGAGGTGTCGGCGGCCAAACCCGCGGGCGGCAGCCCCCAGTGAGTATGGAGGAAGCGGCGCCGGGCCTGCCGGGCGGGGGCGGCGGACCCCAGGGGCGGCAGAGCGGGGAGCCCAGGTCGCCCCGGCCGCTGGGAAGCGGGCCTCCCAAGGGCTGGGAGCTGGAGGGTCGTGGGGAAGCCCGACCTTCACGTCCATCTTCGTTTGGCCCCTCTGAGTTAGACGAAGTACATCACAGTGCTTGGGCCACAGAACCAGGCGGCTCTGAGTTGACCGATCTTCCCGAAAGCCCGGGCCAATGGGACCCCAGTGGGAGGGTCTCATTCTTTAAGGTCTCTGGGATGCTGTGCCAGAGTTTACCCATTAACAATTCTTACTTTTATTTTTTGGAGCCGGGGTCTCGCTCTGTCGCCCAGGCTGGAGTGCGGTGGTGCGATCACGGCTTACTGCAACCTCGACCTACTGGGCTCAAGCCATCCTCCGGCTTCAGCCTCCCAAAAGCAAAAAGTTCTTTTAACTTAGTAGAAAATGCTCATATTACATTCTAATCCCCTGTTTTCTGGATTGGACTTGAGAGGAGAAGGAGGTGCAAAGAGAACTTTGCTGCGTTCTCTATTAACTCATAGAACAAATTATTTCTGTCTTCTTAAAGATAATCCTTAAACTTTACTGGCTTAAAACTGATGTGACATTTCTCATTATATGTGTATTTTGCTTTATAAAATATGTGCATTCCTGAAAGCTTGTGTATAAATTGAATTGTAATAAACGACTACAGAGGAACTTGCCATTTAAGAGAATTTTATGGTGACCCCTTGGTCAGTGTTATGAAGTGGATAACTCATAATTTGTAGTTTATATACATATGGGTTTTTATACATGAAGCTTACTTCAAGTGGGGCACATCTAGATATATGATATTGAAGTTGCATTTTCTCAGAAGGTAGAATAAATATTAAGACGCTGTGGCATGTAGGTATGCATGCAACACCCTGAGTCAAATCCCTGCTAACCTTCATTCCTTGTGAAGGGATAAACTCAGCCATGCTGCTAAGGATCTGTGCAATGCTGGCAAGTCACCCAGCTCTGGGATGGAACATTCTCATCTACGAAATAAGGGGAGTGGGGTTAAGTGATCACTACATGTTTTGGGAAAGGCCTGGGCTTGGAATGAGAAGCTTTGGATCCCGAACTGGCGGTCTCCTTAGAATCTGTGTGTCATAATCCTTGCCTCAACTTCTCCATCTGTAGAAGCATAATAAAGCCATTTTGTTTTGTTTTGAGATGGAGTCTTTCTGTTGCCCAGACTAGAGTGCAGTGATGGGATCTCAGCTCACTGTAACCTCTGCCTCCCAGATTCAAGTAATTCTCCTGTCTCTGCCTCCCAAGTAATTGGGACTACAGGTGCCCGCCACCACGCCCAGCTAATTTTTTGTATTTTTAATGGTGGGGTTTCACCATGTTGGCCAGGCTGGTCTTGAACTCCTGACCTCAAGTGATCCACCTGCCTCGGCCTCTCAAAGTGCTGGGATTATAGGTGTGAGCCACCGTGCCCAGTCAATAATGCCATTCTGTCAGAGTTATAACAGGATTCTTGGCAGGGAGCGAGTTTGAAAGCACTTAACAGTCCCACCTGGTGTATAGCAGATGCCTGATTGATGTTCAAGACTGGTCAAGGTCTCCCTTTGAGCACAACCCCGTGCTCTGGTCCTGTGGCTTGTTCATCAGGGGTCAGGGGTGAGGTTGGGTGCAGCACCTTCTACCGGAGGGTCAGATCCTGCTTGGTGTCTTCCTGATGTCCATCATCTTCATTTGCTCCCCTTGGAGAGGAAAGAGCATGTTGCCTGTTAGCAGAGTTAGCAGATGTGGGCATCTTCCACTGAAACTACCCTTCAGCAAAGGAAGAGCCCAGTGATTGGGAAATCACCCTGGTTTTCACTCTGGTCCACGTTTGGCATAGGATTAGTTGTCCTTTGAAGCTTCATTTTGCCCATCTGTAAAACAAGGATAGAAAAACTAGAACACTGCTCAGACTTGGAAGAAAAAAATCAGCAATCACTTACTTGTACTCTTCAATGATTTGCATTTTTTAAGAAGTGTTTTCATATTATCTATGGCAGGGATTCCCAACACCCAGGCCATGAACCAATAGCGGTCCACAGACCACAGCAGTCTGTAGCCTATTAGGAACCAGGCCACACAGCAGGAGGTGAGTGGCGGGCAAGCAAGTGAGCAATACTGCCTGAGCTCTGCCTCCTGTCAGATCAGTGGTGGCATTTGATTTTCATAGGAGCACGAATTTTGTTGTGAACTGCACATGTGAGGGAGCTAGGGTGCAAGCTCCTTATGAGAATCTAATGCCTCATGATATGAAGTGGAAGAGTTTCATCCCAAAACCATTCTACCCCACCCTACCCCATCCATGGAAAAATTGTTTTCCATGAAACCAGTCCCTGGTGCCAAAAAGGCTGGGGACCACTGGTTTAGAGGGCGTCCTCTGCTCTGTCTCCAAGTTACTCTCATCTGGACAGGACTCAACACCAAGACACTGGGGCACGAGAGGTTGTGGGGGTTAGTCCTGTGCTGGGTCTCAGGAGCTCTGTCTGTTTTCTCCTCCAGAGGGCCCAAGACAGGGAGTGGAGCAGCCAGGCCCATGGAGAGGACCTCAGCTGTGGAGTGGAGTGGTCCTGAGCCACAACGGGATAATGGACACCCTCCAAGACCCCGGCCTTGTCCTCAGGAAAACAGAACATCCAGCCTGATGGCCCCCCAGCCTCCCAGGGTATGGGGGACACAGCTCCAAGGCCCCTCTGTGCTGGAATCCAAGGTGAGGGCTTTGAAGGAGAAGATGACAGGGGGCAAACAGGGAGTCAGCCCCTGCCCCACTTCCCATGAGTGGTCATCCCCGAAGAAACCCAAATGCAGACGAGGCAAGGCGGGAGGAGCCAGGACTCCATCAGAGGGGTCTTTCCTGCCAGGTGCTGTGGTGGCTCCTCATACCCAGAACCTGCCCGATGGGCAGCTGGACAGCGGTGTCAGTGAGGAGGAACCCGCCAGGGATGGGGGCCCCAGGCCTCCCAGGCCACCTGGCCCTGGGCGTGAGTACTGCAACAGGAGAAGCCCATGGCCTCCAGAGGCCGACTGGACACTGCCCGACCATGAGAGAGGTCCGCCGCCGGGGCCCAGCTCTTTGCAACAGAGCCCCATCCATGGAGTTACTCCTGGACAACCTGGAGGTCCTGGTCTTTGTAACAAAATCATCCACATTCCCAGCCCAAGGACAGGAAGGTCCTACCCTTTTCCAGATGACGTGGTCACAGAGGGAGATCTGGACAGCACATCCCTGACCTCCGAGGAGGACTTTGCCCCCAGGACAGCCCTAGTTGGGGAGCTCTGGAGAGCTGGAGACCTGCAGGCTCTGGGCACTGGGAGCAGCGCCTTGTCCCTGTCTGACCGGGTGGAGAGGAACCGCCTGTTGCTGCAGGAGATGCTCAGCGTTTCTGGGCAGAGCCCCCACAAGGTGGGAACCCCCGCCTGGACTCCGCCCTGGGACACAGCTGCACCAGGTGAAGTGTACTGTGTAGGTCCAGGTGGTGGGGAGAGCAGGACGGAGTCCAAAGAGAGGAAAAGGGGAGGAGGGGGTCCCACAGAGGGAGTGGGACAGGAAAGGAGACAGAGCGTGACAGGTGCCTGCCACCAAAATCATCAGAATAGCCTCTTATTCTTGGTGATATAGATTCTTTGCCACCTCACAGGCAGCCTGTCTGCTGAAGACCCCCATGACCCTGCAGACCAATGGGAGGCCACCCTGTGTGCCTGGGGTTAGAGGCCACTATGATGTCTTCTTTGTGGCTTGGATTCCTTTCCGGAGTGGCTTTTTGCCTTTCCCTCTAGTGACATGCCATCACCCCTAGTGAGGGCCCTCTTGTGGGGCAAGTAGACAGGAACCCCTTCCTAAAAGGAGGCTGGGTGTTCTAGCAGCTGGGCTGAGCTCAGACGGTAGCACCAATGGGATGTACAAATGTCCAGGCCCGAGAAGACAACCTCTTTCCCTTCCTGCCATCTCATCTCAAAATCTCACAAGCTCATTCATTACCCCATGCCTGGGCAGATGCACATGGTCCTCTCAGCATCTGGCTGTGGCCACAGCAGCCATCATGGCAGGCTTGGCCTCCAATTTTCAGGCAAGGTGTTGGATTTATCCTGGGAGTAAATTGCTTCAGGGGACACCCTTCTCCTCAGTGTTCACTAAACAGCAGCTGAGAGCCCTGTTTCTGGCTCTGCCCTGATCTCTGCTTCTGCTCTGGATCCTAGAGCGACCCATGGGGAATGTGGACTGGGACTCGGCCATCTCCCTGCAGGACTCTGGCCAGAACAGGTAAGAGCTTAGAGCCCACATGTTCTCTCCCTCCCTCCTCACCACAGTCCCTCTATTTACTCAGCATCAGGACAGTAGGAGACCTCCCAAAATGAAAGGTCAGGCAGACGGCAGACTCCTGTACCAGCAGGCCAGTGGGCATCATCATCCCTGAGACCCTGTAGAAAGTGCCAGTAACCCCTATCCCCCAGGGTGGTGCCTGTCTGCTACTTGAGCAAAACTACCAGAAAACAAAGTGCATTACTAACTACCTGCTTCATGTCCATGGAGCCATTTTCCTTGCCCAGGCCTCTTTCTCGTTTTTTTGAGATGGAGTCTTACTCTGTTGCCCAGGCTGGTACGCAGTGGTGTCATCTCGGCTCACCACAGCCTCTGCCTCCCAGGTTCAAGTGTTTCTCCTGCATCAGCCTCCTGAGTAGCAGGGACTACAGACGTGTGCCACCATGCCTGGCTAATTTTTTTTGTATTTTTAGTAGAGACTGAGTTTCACTATGTTGGCCAGACTGATCTTGAACTCCTCACCTTGTGATCCACCTGCCTCGGCCTCCCAAAGTGCTGGGATTACAGGTGTGAGCCACTGCAACTGGTCAAGCCTCTTTATCTTTAAAGTTGGGGAAATAGCATCTGTCTGGTTCACTTCACAGGACCATTGTGAGGCCAAGGTGAGATCATGGATGTGAAAATCCCTGGGGAAAGTGTACAAAGCCTTACCCCAATTCCATTCCCAGTCAAGGGGTTGTGCTGGGATCGTGTCAAGGATTTCACCTCCAGCCTTACTGTGCTATCCCACGGCCTTCACTCCAGCCCCTCCAACAAATATTTTGGGGAAGCTGGACCCACTGAGGTGTAGCATGGGAAGTAGGGCAGTGTCCTGAGCCAGGCAGGGTGAGAAGAGTACACTCAAGGTGGGAGTGGGGCCATCTGCAGGCCTGAACTGCAGCCAGCACCTGCACAGAGGTTGAACCCAGCCTCCGTCTTTGCCAGGCTCCTGGTCCACGAGGCTGAGAGGTTATGGAGCTCTCATTTCCCCAGCTGTCTGGCAATGTCAGCCTCCGTGAGGTCTTGTGGTTTCTGCAGAGGGCAGAGGTCTACACTGTTGCTCCTCTGGTGTAAGACAGCTCCTGCACAAATCCTACTTGGACAGGACCACCCTCCAAAAAACATGGACGGACCTCTGTCTTAGTCTACTTGGGCTGCCATAACAAAAACCCTATACAGGCTGGGTGGCTTATAACAGCAGAAACGTATTGCTCACAGTTCCGGAGGCTGTGAAGTCCAAGATCAAGGTATGAGCAGATTTAGGTCTGGAGGGGGCTGTGTTTGGCTGATTCATAGATGGTGCCTTCTTGCTGTGTCCTCAGATGGAGCAAGGGGCAAGGCAGCCCTCTGGGGCTTCTTTTCTAAGGGCACTAATCCCATTTATGAGGGCTGTGCCCCATGACCTGCTCACCTCCCAACGCCCCACCTCCTAACACTCTCACATTGGGGATTAGGTTTCAACATAGGAATCTCCGGGAGACACAAACACTGAGTCCACTGCAGTCCCCCAGCCCCACACCTGCCTTAACCAAGCGAGGGCAGCCCAGGTTCAGGCGACTGGGCTTCTGCTTGGCTGAGGGTCAGGTGGAGAGGGGGATATACGGCTCCTTCATCCCTTGCTATTTATGATTTGGAATCACAGTTGCCTCCCCTTCTGCCAGGAATCTCTCCCCCCACCTCCATGGCTTCTGCTTCCAGGCCCTCCTGTGGTCCCCTGCTGGCCCTGCCACAGTGTTGAGGGGAGTGACTGCAGAGAGACCCGTGAGCCTCAGCTGGCTGTGCTCCCTGTTCAATTTGCTTTCTGTGTTTTTCCCTCCTCCTGTGCGGAGCCCTGGAGGAGAAGGCTGGGCAGATGCCCCCGCTGCGGAGGAGGTACCACCTTTCCCTGCAGCTGTGCCCCCCATACTTCCTCCCTCGATGAGGGAAGGGCCCGGGGCAGACACAGCCACTGGGGGTTCTGCTCAGTGGTCACTGCTGAAAACAGAAGCCAAAGCTCCTGACAGACCATTGGATACTAAGGAATAAAACCCACTCATTTTCAAGGAGGAGAACCTCAACCATGGGCAAGGAGGGACTTTCCCTTAATACTGTGAAGAAATGGCATTTGTGTAGAATCCTCGGGATGGGGGTTTCTGGACTGCTGTTTGAGCTGCCCAGGCCCCCAGCAGCCATGGGCTGCATTTCAGAGTTAAGGCAGGGTGAGTACACCTGTATACTGTAGAGTGCGTGCCTGTGTGTGTGTGTGCGTGTGTGTGTGTGTGTGTGTGTGTGTGTGTGTAGAGAGAGAGAGAGAGAAGATCTCTTAGTGAGTTTTAGGACCCTGTTCAAAGACTGTTAACAAAATATCCCCTTAGAGTGCCTGGCAGATCAGGGTACAGAGTGTTGTGAGGAAACCGATTGTTTGGGAGTCAGAGTGCCCTGTATCCTCTGCAGTGAGGTCCCTGCTGAGTAGACACCCAAGCTGAAGGGTCATGTCTTGAAGCCCCTTGGATAGGGCTCCCTGCCTGGCTCTATTCCTGAGTCCCCTGGGCAGACATTAAGGTGGTCCCTAAAACTCTGCAGGGCTCCCTCTCTCCCCACAGCAGGATGGAGTGATTGATGTTACTTCTGTATCGGTGAATTTTCCAAGAGACCTCTGGAGTAAGGCATGCTTCCCTCAGCTCTATGCCCGGGAGTGCCACTCAAGGCCAGGGTCCTGGGGCTTAGTGTTTGTTCTAAGGGGCTTAGGACTTTGGGCAGAGAATGCTGAGGCTGTGGCTGACCATTAGATGGCCACCCCAAAGGGGGCCCCAGGACATCAGTCAGGATGTGTTCTGGCAGGAGGAAAGGGCAGGACCTCACTCATGAGGTCGTGAGCCCCTTGGATCTTCTGAGGGTTTGAGGTCCTGCTTCACATTCAGTCAAGTGTTGCAATCAAATCACCATGACAACCAAGTTAAGTCAGCATGCATTTGATGGTGTCCATAATGGTTATAGCTCTGCAGGGGCAGTAGGATGAGGAGCTCATGACGTGATGGTGACTGCAGAGTTCAACACAGCAGGCAGGCTGGGGGCTGGCCTGGCTTGTGTGGGGCAGTCACCAGGAGTCAGCCTGGGAGGCAAGGACCCAGGACCTTAAAGGCTAAGGGTCAAATGCAGAGGAGACTCCTGGCCCCCAACCCCAGGGTTGTCCCCACTCTACTGAGGGGTAAGAGAAGGTTCAGTTACAGAGGGCTGGAGCCTCCTAGTGGCAGGCAAAAGCCCATGTCAGCAGCTGCCGTTTTAGTGCTCTTATTACATGGCAGGTGCTGTGCTAAGTGCCATTCCTGCATTCCCATCTTATCCTAATAACAAACTGTTTATTGTCCTTGTTTCACTGACAGAGAGACCTCTCTGGGGGGAGTTAAGTGACTTGCCCAGGATCCTCTAGCTGCCAAGTATTGGAGCCAGGATTCGCAGTCAGGGCTGCCTGGCTTCAAGGGTGGTGCTCTCACCATCGTGTGGCACTGCCACGAGCCGCCCTGACCCTGCTCCACAGGCCACCCCTTGGGCTAGGTATCTGGAGGTCCCCTTCCCCTCCCAGCCTGCTCTGTTCTCAGGTATGGGCAAAGGGCAGGTGATGGACTCCATGGGATACACTTATTTTTCTCCTTGGTCACTATCAGGACAATTCAGGAAATGGGGTTTGGATTTTGGGGGAGAGGATGAGGTGAGAGGTTGGGCCTCAGAGAGGGCAAAGGGGATCTGTGCCTGGAAGGACCCATAAGAGAGAAGGGGAGGGGACAATGAAATGGGGGGGCTGTGCTCAGGCTGTCTCTGGACCAGCTCTGGTCCCTTCCCTTCCGTAAGCCTCTGAGAGACATTCTGGGATCGCAGATTGCCTTAGGATCCCAATAACCCAGCACAAGTGAAAGGGTGTGACAGTGAGGAGCACAGCAATGAGGGCAATGCTGGCTCCAGACCCCGCACCAAATCAACTTTGGAGGCTCATGAGCCTGTGCCAGGGCAGCCAGCGGCCTCCTCCTCGCAGTCTCCATGGAGGCAGTGCTGCTGCATGACCCAGGCCCATCCTGGTGCATATCAGGACCTTCTGTGTGTGTGTGTGATCTGGGAGGCCCCAGGTCCTGAGTGTGTCTGCAGGGACTTTAGTTACAGTCATTGTGGGGAGAAGGGAGAAGAGAAGGTCTCAATTTTGTTTATTTGTGCTGTAGTGATGAGGAAAGCTCAGGGGATGTCCTAGGTTGTTTATTTCCCCTCATCCCTGTGGTAAGGTCGTGCCCGTGTGGGGATCCACAAGCCCAGTCCCTGGTGTACAAACCCTTTAGGATACCCCTGTGAGTGATTGCCAGATCACTTCACATGCAGCGGGGGAGGGTAGGGCTGTCTTGATCTTCAGGCCCCTGCTGGGATTGCTGGAGGGGGAGCAATCAAAACTCCCTCCCCTCAAACAGTTTTTACACTCTTAAGTTAAAGACAGGCAGCCCTAAAGAATTTCAGGGACTTGGCCTGTGGTTCAAGTGGTCAGGCCCACAGCTGTGAGAAAAATCCCAGGCTTTTAAAGCTTAATATGTTAATTAGCATTTTTGGAAACAGGAAAAAAACAAAATGTTTTCTCCTACTTTCACACACTCAGCCTAGCACAGAACACTTCACCTCGAGCCACCAAAACGTGTGCAGCTGTCCCCACACGCCAAGCAGTTCTCCTGCGGACCCCAGCTGACTCTCACTGATTCCATCCAGTTCTGACACTGTCTACCTGCAGACAGTATCAGGCCCCACAGGTTGAGGGCTCAGTTCCACAAGACTATGCTTACTTCAGATGCCAGTCGCAAGTCCCAGCTTGTGACCTGCACTTCAGACCAACCAGCTATAAATCGGGCTCCCACTGTTTCTTCCTTGGGTTTGATTACTTTTTACAGGATGGTTCACAGAACACGGGGAAACGTTTAATTTGCATTTACCCATTTCTTATGAAGAATATTACAAAACACACCAACGTACAGCTACGTGAGGAATGGCGTGGGGCAAGGTCTGGGAGATGGGGCACCACCCCCAGAAACCTTCGCAAGCCCAGCTGTCCCCAGGCTCCCCTGCTGGCCCTTTGGGTGTTTGTGGAGGCCTCATTATGTAGGTATGATTGATGATGTCATTGGCCACTGGGGGTCAGCTCAAACTTCAGCCCTTCTCCCCTGCCAGAGGGTAAGGGTTGGGGCTGAAAATTCCAACCCTCAAAATGATTGGTCTTTCTGGTGACCAGCCCACATCCTGAGGCTATCTAGGGACCTCAGCCACTAGCCATCTCATTAGCATACAAAAGGCACTCTGATCATTCCTGAGAGTCCAAGGGTTTAGGAGCTGCGTGCCAGGCGCGCCAGGAGCAGGGACCAAATCCGTATTTATTAGATCACAGTATCACAGAGCTCCCCTGCGAGCTGGCCACTGGGTGCGATCCAGCGCAGTTTCACATGGAACTGCCCATTTTTGCTCTCTGTGCCCTGCACCAGCTGCAGCCATAGCTGGCACTGATGTATCTCCTCCCTCAGCTCCTGGGGCAAGAACTGTGCCGTTCTTGTCTCTCTGGGTCCGAGTGCCTGCAAGTGTGTGCAGGGAATAGGCTCTCAGTCAGAAGCGTCTGGCAGAGGCACACTGTGAAGAGTGTGAATGAGGGCTCGGCAAGGGGGCATGGGGAGTCCCGGCTGAGTATGGGAGAAGAGACACTCCTGCACCACCCCAGCATGCCCAGGGCCGTAGAGGTGCCTGAGGACACCCCCGGGTACGGTGTAACCAAGAGCAGCTGAACCCCTGCCTGTCCTTAGCACTCCCCTCGGCTCCCATCCCACCCCACTGATATACATGCACAAAGGAAAGTCCCCTTACCACTCCCAGCCCCACCGAGACTAAAGCAAAAGAAAAAGTTAACTTTAACTACTCAACAATGTTTTCGGATTCTTAACACTCTCTCAATGTCTGACCCTGGGTGGAGAAGGAAGCCCCACCACAAACCCAGTGCCACCTGGAGCTTCCAGATACCCTGTCCCATGCTATGTCATTGCCACACCCACGTACACACCACATAAGAAAATCTCATGATGGTCTCAATCTTTACCAATCAAGGAACTCCAGAAAGTCCATTTATCCAAGGCCATTCATCTGATAGGAGCTAGTCTGAAATTCTAGAAAAGAAAGCCCTCTCCCCTACCTGCCAGAGTTGAATAGGCCACTGGTCCCCTATCTGAGGGCATCTCAGTCACCCACCTCCTCTGTGGCCACCCAGGTCCCACACCTGAGGCCAGGAGGCTCTGATCAAAGGGGCAGCCCAAAGCCTCCCACATGGGAGCTGAGGCAGTGGTAGGGACAAGAAGGGGCTCAGCAGAGAATCTGTTCATTTGCAGGAAGGCAGGGACAGGGTGGCTCTGCCCTCCTCAGAAGTCAGCGTCTTAGGCACGCACTGCAGGCCTCCATGCAGACCCTTTTGAAGATGTTGAAGGAGGTGGATTTTCCCATCTGCCATTCTGGAGGACTCCCACTCCTCCTTCTCCATTAACAGGAGGGCCTGTTGACTGTCTGGGAATCAGCTTTCCCCCACGATCAAGCAGCCAGCTGCCTCCTGTTTTCTATCCTATGGAAGCCATCTTTTCTGTGGAGCCCTGTCAAAGGCTTTTCAAAATCTAGAGCAGAACCACCAGGCCCCCTCCAGCTACAAGATGGTGTTTGTCACTTCCAAACATGCCTTCTCCTTGCAGACAACAAGGTGACCTCTTTGCAGGTGACTTTAGTACATGTTCAGGGCTTCCATCCTTTGCTTAGTAAGGGGGTAAGAGTAATTTAACAAAACAGTGGTGCTAATGATAAAATAATAATAGCACCAAGCGCCCAGCTCTGTGCTAATCTCTTTTAAGGGACTCAGTCTCGCTTAGTTTAACAAATGAGCCCTTATTAGTAGATATGGAAACTGAAGCTGAATTCCTAAGGAAACTGCCAGGGTGACACAGCTAGGAAGTGGCTGTCCAGGGATTAGAACCCCAGGCAGGCTGCCCCCAAGCCACACGCTTCCCCGCCACTCTAGGCTGTGTCCCGTCTGTGTCCTGCAGACCTGGGAAGAAGGCACCTGTGTAACCAAGCACGATTGTCTGAGACAAGGTCCCTGCCCTCATGGAGCACATGAGCCAGAATCAGTTCCAGGTACACCTTTTTCACTTCCCCTCATTCAGAAAATTGCACACAGAATAACAAACAGTAAGAGAGCTCTATCTGTGGTCATCAGAAAGCTTTCAGATACGCAAAAATGGAGCAAATGCTAAGCACCAAAGTTTCTCTATGTTCTGTACACAACATATTCTCCCTCTACTGGCTACATCCTGGAATCTGGGAAGTGCCAGATCACTCAACATTCCAAATTATTTCCCCATCCATATAACTGGTTGAAAGGGTTAAACACAGACCCACTGAGCTTATTATTTTAATCCAGGATTATGATGGCTGCAGAAGAAGGCCACTCTGTCCCCTTGACCTCCTTGGCTAGGAGAGCAGTGGTGGTTCTCCTGCCCCGCCTGGCTGAGGGGAGAGCAAAGCCACAGCTAAGCCTGTCCCTCCACTAGGAAACTGGTCAAGAAGGGAGTACCATAGTGGAGGGGACCATACGCTGCCCTTTGTCCTTGTGAAGCAGTTGAGGACACAGGTTGCTGGAGGGGCCGGGGAAGGGCCAGTATACACTAGTGGAATGCCAGCTTTCCCCAACAATGAGCTCTTTGTAGGCTCTGCCACTCAGTGACAGCCAAACATCTGTGGTGGGAACTCCCCCCAGCAGGGACCTCGAAATCTCATACCCCACCTTATGTCACATCAGACAATGTGGCCAAAGATCCAGGGTTGCAGGGTAGCACTATGAGTCCTCTCCCCTCTCCAGCCCCCGCTGCTTGCAGATGGGGAAACTGAGGCCCAGGGAGGAAAAGCACTCAGCCACTTTATTCATATGTTCCACCCTCTGAGTTAATGAGCTCCAGAAACAGGCTTTCAAGAGAGTGGCGAAAAGTTGTCTATTCTTAGGTAGGATTTGCCTTTGCCTGGCCTTGCAATGACCACTCCAACCCTTCTAGGAATTTTCCAGAGCAACTGTGGGAACTGGGGTTGTGGCTTAGAGTCTGTGATGGGAAGGGGCTGGCTCTAGGGCTGTGTGTCCTCAGCAGAGGCCAGCGTCCGATTAGACCGGGAAATCTTCCTCGGATGAGAGAGTCTGAAACTGTCTGCTTGGAGGGCTTGGGTGGGCCTCGGGTGGACCGCTGTTGTGTGGGATGGGAGGTGGGCAGTGAGACTAGGCAGACTCAGCACCCACCCCCCGCGCCTGCTTGCCTCCTGCCTTGGAGAAAGACGACCTTCCCTCCACATGGCTGGCCAGGCCCTCGTTTCCTCAGGGTGCACATTGACCTTGGCTGCAGTCTGTGAAGGTGACTGCCACTCCTCCCTGCTCAGTGTGGTACTGCATGGATGCCTCCAGGCGCCTAAAAAGCCATGCTTTTCTAATCTGTGGAGAACCAAGCTTTGTCTGCCAGGAACTGAAGCAAGACAGCTGATGAGAAAAAAAAAAAAAAGTAACAGCTCCAAGAGGAGGGAGCAGAAAGGAAACAGCAAAGCTGGAAAATGGCTTAAAAACCTGGGGGCAAGGCTGATCCTGGCAGCATCTGGCCAGCTGCCTGGGGCCCTCCTGCCTGCCCACCAGGTCTTGAGACAAATGCCCTCCGACAGCCGTGGAACCACAGCTGTCACCGGAAGGCTCCAAGTGTGCGGGCTGGCAGCCAGAGGCCCACGGCTGCAGGGGCGCCTCTCCGGGCTGGTAACCTCATTATCTCTGCTGTCGGAGCAGGAGCCCCAGGGAGCACAGCTGCTCTCGGCCGCCTTGGAGGAGCTGTCTGCTCGGTAAGCTGTGCAGAGGGAGGCCTCTCCTGCCAAAGAAGGCTTCGTGGGGCAGCGGGCCTGGAAATTCGCTTTCACATCCCTCCAGTAAAGCCCTCCTTGTTCCAAAGCCATGCCTGGGCCCTGCCAGGGTTCACAGGCACAGATGGTGCCTTTCTTCTAGCAGTCTCCTCCTGCTCCCCAGTGGCCCCAGAGCAGGGTTGGATGCAAATGGGGAGAAGAAAAAGAGACTGAAACAAGAAAAGAAATCATAGTCCGCCCAGAGTTTGTCCAAGGACGTCCCAGGAAGCCTTCCTTGGAGGCCTCAGAGCTGTGCCATTCCCACTCTCACTCTGTCACCCAGGAAACTGCCTGGTTCCTTCCCCCGGTCAGGACCAGACCCCCTTTTCCACGTGGAATACGGGGTGGGGTGGGAGGCTGCAGTTCTGAGATTAAGACTGTGTTGAGTCTCTACTTGCTGGAGCCCTGCGTGCTCACACTCTTGAGGACAGCCCAGCATATGTGACGGCAAGGACAGGGGTAGCCAGTGGGGATGATGGAGTTACCCCAAAGAGCGTGTCTGCCCCCAGCCACAAACATCCTCTGCCTGCCTTGGGAACCAAGGCGGGAGAGGACAGAGGGTGCAGAACGATGCTAGAGGCAGAGGGGCTGGCTGTCGTGTGCTCTGCTCGGCTTGCAGTTGACGTTCGACCTTGAACAATGTGCCAGCATTCCTGTCTGCTCTGGACACCCTCATCTGTCACGTGAAGAGAACACCTGCCCTCGGCCAGCTTGGCTGGGGAGAGCAAACTCCGTGGAGAACAACGGCTTGTCAGTGGGAGATTGCGGCCTGCTGTTAGAGCTGTAACCCAGCGTGGGCTGCATGTCACCAGCTGAGAGACAGCTTTGAAAAAGGACTGCTGTCATTTTCTGCAACTCTGGACTGGCCAGGGAGGCAGCACATCTGGTAGGGGGTGGGGGCTGGTGGAGGACCCTTATTATTATGAAAATGGAGCCATTTGCTGACTTGGTTTGGGTCCAGCTTAATTTCCCTCAGCCCTGAGCCCGTGAGCCCTGAGCTGGTGCCTGATGGTTTTGGATTGGGACTAAGGCTAGAAAACACCAGGATTTATAAAAATGCCATTCCCCCAAAGGATCCAGTCTATGCTGGACAGGGCCCTGATTCTTTGTGTCTGCAGTGGGCGCTAGTGTGGTGCTGTGTGTGTGGGAACAGAGAGACAGAAGGAGAGAGAGGTGATGCGTGGAGAGACCATCTGTCTGGGCACGGGCCCAGCCCAACAACCCTAGGCCCTTTCTCCCTCCTCCTCCCAGATAGCTCCTGCTGTCTGCCTGGGGAAGGAACAATAGAATAATCTGGAGACTCTCCTTTCTAGATCCTCTTGAGGTCTCTGTCTCCAGTCCCTGAGCAGATGTCCAAGGCCAGGCCAGCAACGCAACCCCCATCCAGAGCGACGCAGGGCCATTTCCCAGCCCCAGGCTGCAGGCCCCCAGGCTGGGTTCCCTGTGCGTGGGAGCTAGGGGAGGAAGGCTGCACATGCAGGGCTTTTTCTGGCACAGCCAGTGCTTGACACTGCTAAAGCCCTCCTAATCCGCGTTATTTTCTTCTAATCCCTCCCCCGCCACCCTGGCCTGTGTGCCACCCTACAGGTCCTTTGGTCCCAAGCCGGAGCCTGTGCTGAGTCCCAGGCATGAGGAAGCCAAGCATCTGCTGCAGAGTGCCCGCATGAAGGCCAGGACCCGGCCCCTCCGTGCCAGCCATGACATCGTGCCCACCATTGCCCAGGGCAGCCGGTGAGTGGGACCCGGGCCAGGCTGGCCTGGGAGGGCCATAGCAGAGAAGGGTCAGCAGTGGGAAGAAATGCTGCTGCTCACTCCTCGTGTGTGTGTGTGTGTGTGTGTTTTCCATATAAGGCTCTTGCTTTGATCATTTAGTCAGTCAACACACATTTCCTGAGGGCCTACAGTCAGGTTGATATATAAAGATGAATTAAACATGATCTGGATCCCTGAGGGGATAGAGGTCACAGTCTCCAGGGAGAAAGAGAGGCAAACAGATATTCAATTCTGTGGACTGTGTTGTAAGAGAGGAAAAGTGTGTGTGCTGAGCTGGAAATGTTTACCTCCACCTGGAAAAGACAGGTGAGGCTCCTGAGAGGAGGTGACTTCTCAGCTGAAACTTGAAGGAAGTGTAGATATGCACTGGGTAGATAAGAGGGGCAAGGGTGAGCATCCTGGGGACGGAAACTGAGCAGAAGCACTGTGCTCAGGAGTTCAGCCAGGCTAGAGGGTAAGGATGTGCTGGGCCATGTGGTGTGAAGGCTGGAGGGCTCAGTAGGGCCAGGTCATGGAGGCCTCCAGGCCTGCAGAACAGTTAGACAGCTGGATGTCTGCTGCAATATCTGGGAACTGCTGGAGGACCCTGGCCAGGAGGGCAGCATGATCGCACTTCAGTGATGCCATTCTAGCTGCAGAGATGTGCTGGGTCTGGGAGACAGGTGTGGTGAGGATGCTGCTGCTGTGGCCCCGCTGAGCGGTACAGAAGAGGAGGGTGTGGAGATTTCACAGAGACCCCAAGCACCAGAAGCAAATAGGCTTAGTGAGGCAACAGAGGAGTGCCACACCTAGAGCCAGACCATGCGGGCTTGACTTCTGGTTCTGGCCCTCAGCTGGGTGCCTCTGCAGAAGTCTCTGTGCCTCAGTTTCCTCACCCACAAAATGAGAATTGTAATAGTGCCTGTCTTACAGGGTTGCTGTGGGGCAATGTGAGCTAATACGCATAAAGTTTAGAACAGCGCCCGCCATGCAGTGAGTGCTGCAGGACTGTGAGCTCTAACTACTCCTCGTTTGGTTGCAGGAGTGTGGGAAGTGTGAGAAGGGAGGCATCTGGAATGCACCCAGGGTTCCAACTCGGTGTCTGTGTTTGGTGGGTCAGCCAAGGGGTGAGGGCTCAGTGCAGGGTCAGGCATTGGAGGGGGAGGTGCTCTCAGAACATCCACTGGCAATCCCCCCAGGCAGTTGGATACAGGATCTTTAGAGGAGGAGAGATCAGAATTGAAGATCTGGACATCATCCCTGATTTCACAATACTACAGTGATGGTGAGGGAGAGCTTGTCAGGAATGAAGAGGTGAGAAAACAATAAGGTCAAGGATGTTCAGACCAGCACATCACATAAACAACTGCCCCCTGAGCAACACGCTTCATCCCCACCTCCCTGCCTATTCTGCCTATGGTACACCTTGAAGAACCACTTACACATGGCCTTCACCACCACACGGATCCGTCTTCCAGTCATGCGCCTGGGCCTGAGATGAGGCTGCTAGGCTACGCCAGGTCTCCCCAGGCCCAGGCAGGCCCCCTTCTGTAGCTAGCAAAGCCTGCAGTTTCACTGGCATGGTGGACATGCTGCATCTGCCTGTCTGAATCACCATGTGGCATGGGAGAGAGCAGGGCTTCTTAGGGAGCAGGGATCTTGGTGGAAATGGACCAAGATCCAGTTCCTTTGGTGCTCTTTGATGGAGGGTGCTGAACTGCTCATTAAAGGCTAAGGAGCTTCATGGAGCCATTGAGATGACTCCTTCATGAACAGAGGTCATTGTGACCCTTAGGAGAGGGGCTCAGAGGACCCTAAATCCCGGCAAGGGGTGCCAAACAAACTACCTTTGCATTTCCACATTTTGTGCTTTGCCTCTCTCTCCAGATGGAGGGGACTCGTTAGGAATGGACATGGCTTCTTCGGGGCATCCTAACTATTCTTCTTCACATTTATATATGTTGAGAAACCTTAGACTTCCAAGCAGCTCTCCTGTCCTACTTTGTATAGGCATTTAGGTTAGGTCGGGTAGCCTCAAAATAGTCAAGACTATCTACAAAACAGTCCGCATTGTGTAAAGGTCCTCTTGGACGCTTCTTCCTCAGATCACTCCAGAAGCTCACAATAACCCCAATCACTAACTTTAAAGTAGGCTCCCTTTTGCAGGCCATCTCCAGGCCATAGAAATGCTATAGAAATGCAAGGTGACCCACTTTAGCAGCTGCTGTGTCCAGAAAAGAATTACTATGACTTGGCAGCACTGGTGAATCCTCAGAGGGTCTAGCTGAAAAATCAATGCCAGATGGCTTGCTGCAGATGCTTCTAAAGGTTACGCTCCATCAAATCACCCTGGAGGGCCATGCTGAGTTAACACGGCAATGGCACACAGGTCCCAGGCCTCAGTTAGATGCAGGAGGCCCCAGCCCCAGCCCAGATGCATCACTTCTAAAGAGCGACTTGGTGAAAGGTGATGGAAGAGGAGGGACAGGCAGAGCAGTCTCAGAGGGCCTTCTTTATCCTAGGTCTGGCTAGAGGCAGTTGGGGCAAGCCTGAACAGACAGGGATTCCAGGAGGTGAAGAGGTAGCAGCAGCTGCACTTTTCTGGAAACAAATTAATACAGAAATGGAGCAGCTCCTGGAAGCACAAGATCTTGCCGTTTTGGGGCTAGACACGCCTAGATTGGTGTTTCTGAAGGCAGGAGGGCAGGACACGTTGGCAAGAGGCAGGGCTGGTAGGGTGACACTGTAAGTGTTACTGTCCCGGGTCAGAGAGAGTGGCTGTGCTGAGACTGCAGAGCGTGTGTACATCAAATTGAGTGTGTGGTTAGGGCAGCAATGCTATGGAAAGTGGGACCCTGGAAAGGGGTCCCCGTGAAGCCATATGTCTCCAGGACTGTGGTGGGATCCTCCCCTAGAGGGGTGACTGCTGGGGCCTCTGCAGAGCCTCCCTTTGAGAATTTGGTGGGTGTGGGATTTGCTCACTGCTCAGCTACCTCATTCACCCTGCACTTGTCATCAAAGTCCTCATCCTGCCTTTATGCACTGTTGCTGACACTGCAGGTGGGGCTTCTGGGTTGGAATAACTGGGTTGAAAGCACCTTATGTGATTAAGCACTCCTTAATTTTTCTTTTTAGAACAACAATGTCTGCCTCTGCAGTGAATTCCAGGATGGCTCAATTCACCATCCGACGTGTGAAAGTTAAGGCCACCGATGTGGCTCATGCGACCTGGGATCCCTTCTTAGATTAGGACTGCACTGCCTTTAAAGCCAGGCTTTTTCCCTCCCTAGAAATCACAGCCCATGTCCTGCAGAGAACATGGGTAGTTCCCATAGGGAACTACCTCTGGGGCCTGTGGAGGGGTTGTTGTGTGAAGCTGTGTGCAGACTCTCCCCATGGGCCTTTGCCTGCATCAGCTGGGCTGGGCTGGGAAGACGCCCTGTCTGTGCAGTGGGGTAAAGCATCTGCTCAGCAGGAAATCTCCTGTTTCTGGGGGGTGAGTGATGCTGTTTATCTGGATGGAGCCTTCCTTTTGGGGGCTATGGAAAGGGAGCATGCTTCTGGACAGCTGACCATGAGCTCCACATGAACAAGGACCCATGATATCTCAAAGCAGGCAGATCCACTTGCTTAGCAGTTTTTTTTTTTTTTTTTTTTTTTTTTTTTTTTTTTTTTTTTTTTTTT